GACATATATTTATTGTAAAATCAAACTTATTCACCGAATGTAAACAAACCGCGCGATTGCATAAACGCTTATCTATGGCATGGAACACCAAAATCTGATAAATAATTTTAAAAAATGTGTTTCTCCGGAAGAAAACCGGAGGTTTTCAGGATTTTTTAGAAATATCCAGATTTCCGGATATATCCGGAAGACTTTCATTATTATAAGCTGCAATAATGATTTTGTATTTTTTCAATATTGAAACTATATTAAACAGACCAAGACCTTATTTAACCATAAAGGACTTCTGTGGCACAGAAAACGTGGTTGTTGAAATTTAATTTTGAGAAAGTTCTTATTTGACTGTTAGGGACTAATTAACAAATATGATTTTAAACATCATAAATAAATTGTTATGCTTTTTCCTACTGCTGGATGCTTGTTGCTGCTTTTTACATAAAACTGTGTTAGTTATGATAACACAGATCATAAACTCACATGTCAGAAATTACATAATCCACCTGATAGTCAGTTGGACCATACTGAGTTGTATGAAGACAGCAACACTATGAAGCTTCAATTCCACAAGTTGGCGGCCAAAGACATTTGATGGTATTTAGTGCCATTCTTCCAGAAGTGTTGGGTGTTTGCATAAAAAAGGATGGAATCTGTGGATTGAACCTGATCCAAATTTCTAACGCATCCCAAAGATACTTGATTAGATGGTATGGTAGCACAGTAAAGTTAACAAAAAACAAGTATTTTATTCTGATATTTCCTAAAACTAAGACTTTGATAGAAAAAGGTTTATGTGAAGTTTTTATGCAGTAGCAGAGAGGAACACTATTTCTTTTCCTGGTCTAAAATTGATTTGCAATGAAACTTGGATTATGTATCAAATCATTTAATAATATTGATGGTTAACACTTTCGCAAAAGGCTCATGTATTTTAAATGACCTTGTAATCACAGTGGTATACATACAATAATTCTGAAAGTACTTAATGTATCTTTACAAAATTTCATAAGCTTTCAGAAAACATTGAGTCTTTTGCAGTAAAAAAATCAGTTTTAATTAAGTATTTTTACTAAAACTGCAATTATATGGAGTCAGAGTGTTGACTGCTTTAAGTGTAAAGTGACTTTCATGTTAAGATTAAAAATATTTTTCTGTATCTGAAAACTTTCAAATTTCATTTGCTTGTATAATTCCTAAAACATACTAAATAAATATCAAATGTTTTTTTCTTCAGAAAACTATATTTTATCTGTCATTTTTTATACTAGAACTTTATATGGGGTTAGTCAATTTAACTAACTTTGTAATCACTATAAAAAATTAGTAAATAAATCTAAATTAGTCTTTTTCTTTCTAGAATGACTGCAAATTGTAACAGGAAGCCACAATTGTTTATCTCAAATAGCTTAAAGCTTCTGACAGTATGAATCTATTTATCCTTAATTTTATTGTTTTATTGACTTATGAGCCATGTCTAACTAATAACCCCCCACAAGTTGTAAATCTTTCAGCAAATGCGCAGCTCGCAAGCATACTTCATGATAAATTATTATTATTATTTTTCATTATCTTACCTAATCTAACCTAATAAATTTTTAATTTTGACATTTTAGTTACATTTATAATAATAAATAGAAAATTCAAATGAAAAACAAGAAATATAGTACTTAACTGGACCTTCTTTTTTGCTGTTGACTTAAGCCTACTTTTAAACTTATGGTACTACTACTACACCATATAATATTTTATTAAATAACACACCTAAGAACATAGAATAATAACACACAAAACCAAACAATGTCCTATAACTATCATAAATTTTCTGGTTTTCTAACTATGTGATAAGACCCAACAAAAATTCAGCCAAACTAGTCGATGTGGTTCCCATGAGAACAAATTTTAAAATGAAAGAGGAAAAAGACAATTCTCTGTACAGAAAATAACTTAATATGTTATTTAACAGATTAAAACTTTAGGTTTCTATTGGTTATAAATAGCATAGTATATAATGTCAGAGAGAAATATTGGCAATTTGTGGAAGATAGGATGCGACAGGTAGGCATGGTAAGTGTGTTTGATTTTCTAGTTTATGGCTCCATAAACAAATAAAATTGAATATCATAAAGATTATGTATTGCTTCAGTAATATCTTCTCAGAGGTGTGGTAAATAAATTGGAGAAGAGGGAAGACAAAGAGAGTAAATACTACAATTCTCATACTAGGGAAGACTTAGGATTTTAAAAATATTTTCTTATGAAATTAAAACTTAAAACTCATATAATATTAAAACTTCATTTAATAACTATGTATCAATGTATTCTTATGCATTGATAATAAAGTAGTTTAAATAAATTTTGGACGTAATTGTATAAAAGGTTGTGATATGCACTCTTTCACCTACCTGACACAAAATGGTTAACCGTATTCATCACGTCCTTATAGTACAGGATTATTGTATATGCTCACCATTAATTTCTTTTGAGCTCTCTCTCTTTTGCTCCCTATGTTCTACAGTGTGTACATGCATGCATTTTTTTTTTATCAGAACTCTAAACTAGCATGTAAAAAGAAACAGCCTGCCAAGCTAAAATACACCAGTATTAGAAGGCTACAGCTTTTTATCACATATCCTATCTCAATTGAAATTGTTAAAAATACCATATGCAATATGGCAATTTTTCTTAACTTGAAAATAGAAATAAAAGGTCAAATATGCAATATGTGAAAAATTCAACAAAAGCTTCTACAGCAGTTTTCTGAACTTTAAATATTAGTGTCCCCCTAACTCAACAAAGTTTCCATTGCACCCTTCTCTTCACATTAAAGTAATTTTCACAAATGATAACAGAAAAATCAACATTTTCTTTACCTGTTTTTAATAATATTTCTAAACGAAAAAATACTTGTAAGAAGTGAGTAAATGCAAGAGCAAAAGAAAGCTTTGAGAGCAAAGTGATAGCTTTATTAGGTTATCATCACCTCCAACTCTTCTGTTTCTTCCATCATTATTTTTGGGCTTTCCCACCAAAAGGTGCTCCACCTCCAAGTGGGCATGCCCCACAATTTGGAAAACACTATTCTGTAGTATCATACATTTTATACTATAATAGTCTAATGATTTCTTTAGTTTGATCACAGGGAACAACTTAATACAGCTAGTAAGTGATGATTTAACAGGTTTAGAACAAACAAAAGTTAGTTTAACACATAAAAATGTACATGGATGAAGACACATAGCTGAATAATTTTATTACTGAACAAATTTACTAAGTTAATATCTACTCTACTTTTCAGTACTCTATGTTTTTTAAAAATTTTGAACATCCTTTGTGCCTCAAATTATTGTTTTTTCTCGTAAAGTGGTGGGTCCATCAATAGATTTAGGCAATTAGTGGAACTTGATTGTCAATTCATTGTCAGGCTCAGTAAGTGATTACATTCAACTATTTGATTATTCTTGTGAGAGTTGGATAGTTAGTTGAGGTAACTGGAAATGCTAATTTTGTTTATATTCACAAGTCATAACACTAATTAATTATGCTGAATAACCTTGAATTAATCAAAACTACTATTTTCAATTAGTTGATTACTTAATGACATTAATCAAATTAATCATAATACAGTTTAATTGATTATTTTACCTGAAACTATATGATGCTCACACATACTAGAATAATCAAGTTAATCACCCAGTTCTGTAGTATCAATGGTAGAAAATCCACCATTGCAATAAAACACATTATAAATTATTTTGTTATCAAAACAATAACAATTAACATTCGGATACTTTACAGAAACCTAATTAAAATACAAACTTAGAAATTATGTTCATTCTAGGTTTCTTGTAAACTTATGTAACTACAGTCTTCCAGTATGTGTACAACATATTTCTGTACAACCAATATTAAAAGTTACTTTAATTATACTTTATTTGTAGTATATATGAAAATTTTGACATTAAAATTTAATACTTTATGAATACAAAACAAAGTTAAAATAGGCTTACAGCATGATTTCCTTGGGCAGAATAGTGAAGAGGTGTGGCACCTTTTCCGTCAGTACTTGTGTGATCTGCTCCTCTGTCTAAAAGTAATGCTGCTTTGTCTGCTAGCCCTAGAAATTCACAAAACAAATGTAAATATACATATAATGCTTATATGTAACTTTCAACTACATGAAAATGAAATATTTTAGATATAAGTTTACACTTGTCTTTTCAATAAACTTAATATAACCTTAAATAACTTTTGTCACTTTATCAACAAAATGATAAAAGTTTAATACCTTACAAAATGATAAACTCACACACATGTAGATCACAACAAAGTTTCAAATGTTTTCATGTCACAATCATTTTATACCCTCTTTCTACTTGCTATCATGTTCTTCATATGTACTTCCTAATCCTTTTTCAAAGTTTACGTTTAATCTTTTTCTTTTTAGTTTTCAGTTAATTTTTATCTTGTTTTTCTTCTCTTTACAGTCAAATCCTTTTTCAAATTTGCATTTAATTATTTTTGATCCAGTTTTTCTTCTTCATTCATACTGTTTGACTCTTTTTCAAATTTCTTGATGTTTTTATTAATAAGAAGTTTTCATAAAGAAGTAGATATATAGAATTCTTTTAACCAAGGTAAATTTCACTTCCTCCAGATATTATAGATTGCAACAGTTTTGAAGACTTTATATGCCTTTTGACCAATTTCCTTCAGCAAACAGAGAAACCTAGAATTAAGAATTTACAAAGCAAGCTATATAGATAAAAAATAATACACTTTAAAAGACTTATGAAGACAATCCTGTAAAAGAATCTAACTACAGATACTTAAAAGTTATAAATCAATAAGTTAAAAAACTAGAACATATAATGAAAAAATAAAACACTGAATTATCAATTTCGTCCTCTTACCGTTAAAACCTAACAAGTACATGTTATTTTCAAGATCCAGAAACAGTAAGACTCAGATCTTTTACATATAAATAGCATTTCAAGTTAGTCTGCTACGACAATATTAGTTTTATCATTGTGTCATAATAATAATTAGCACAGCTTACACTATTTCTAGAAATTTGAAATACCAAATTTTTGTGTTATCAGTCTTAAAAAATGCTGATGTTAAACAGTTAGTTACAATTATGTTTTTTTGTTGTTTTTTTATATAAGTGCTGGAATCATATATGCATTTCACAAAAACATGCTTATTTTAAAAACTAAGATGAACAGAGTTGTTATTTATAAGAAGTTTAAAGAAATTAAATAAAATAATTTATTATTTCTATGGTCTAGTTATTCTTTATAGTATAAAGAAAAAATATGACATTAGTACAAACTTGAGTATTTATTTGGTGAAAGTAAGATTGGTTTGATTGTTGTTAACTGCAAAGCTACACAATAGGTTATCTGTGGTCTGCCAACCATGGGTGTAGAAACCCAATTTTTAGCACAAACTTACTGCAGAGCCACTGGGCAACAAAAAGTAAGATAAGTTACTAAATTGTTTCTGTGTCACAAAGTATGGAATTCAAGACTTTTACTTGATTTTCATCTAATAATAAAGCTTAAACAATAAAATATAACTAATCCCTGTATCATTTGAAGTAAAAAGTACACATGAAACTAACAGTATGCATGGTGCTACTAAATAAAAAATATATGTAAATTTATTTATTATTTTCAATATTTCTTAAGTCTTAAAAAAATCATAATTGTAAAATTTATAGGTGGATATGAACCATGTCTTAATTATAAAAAAAGTCATCAAAGCTCACAAAAGTTATTTTTGAAACATGAGCTTAGACCGCAAAATACTGATAAAAAGTGTTGGAAGCTTATCACCAGATGGCAGTATATATATATAGTTGCTCAGATAGGTAACAATTTATTGTATTTTTAAAATTGACATCAAAATATTGTATGATAAATACTATATAAAAATTATTACTTAACATAATACATGTTCACAATAAAGAATAATCAATCATGCTTACCTAAAACGGCAGCCCAATGGAGAGGAGTTCGAAACATGTTGTCTAACTGATTAATGTGACACCTGTCCCGAGATGTCTACAAAAAATAGAAATGTTAAACATTTCATAGCTTGATAGACAACTCATTCTTCAAAATTTATGAATAGCTAAAACAGTAGAGTGAGTATGCTACATTATTAACAATACACATTCATTTTAAGAGTTGTAACAGAACTCATAACAACATAGCACAAAATGGAACTGAGCTTGTTTACTACTGCTTAAGCCAGGCCTTGTGACTATTCTAGTAATCTATTGCTAGATTGGTCCTGTTGGGTGTTTTGGTGTAGGATAGTGCTTATGTGATCAGTTTCATTTACTATTTAGGTATAGGTAATATTCTACCTTTCACACTAATTTTTTTGCCTAAACAAGTTTCTTACAGATAAAGAATACTTCTTCCTTTTTATTTATTTTCAAAAAAAGGTTATATTCCTAATTCACAAGTATTTGTTTGTTTTGAATTTCACACAAAGCTACTCCAGGGCTATCTGCACTAGCTGTCCCTAATTTAGCAGTGTAAGAATCGAGGGAATGCAGCTAGTCATCACCACTCACCGCCTACTCTTGGGCTACTCTTTTACCAATGAATAGTGGGATTGACCGTCACATTATAATGCTCCCACGGGTGAAAGGGCAAGCACATTTGGTGTGACGGAGATTCAAACCCGCGACCCTCAGATTGGGAGTAAAGCGCCCTAACCACCTGGCTCCTATAAACTTCAGTGGGTGTTTATGTTCTCATACACTTTTGCCACTTACTAGTATTAAATTATGTTCTTATTAAGTTATTTCTGCCCAAATGAAAAGAAAACTAATTACTGCTTTGATCTGTTTCATGCTTGTACAGCACTTAAGTCAAACATAACAAATTAACTTTACTACAAATAAATATGAATCCCACTCTATTCACCCCTTATCATTGAGTTATACCAGTTTTAGGGGAATTCCAATCCTCATCAGTAACCCTAGTGGTGAATTGAATGATAGACTGGGGCTTCAAATTTATTTTTAGTATCTTAAGTAGCATGTCTGCTGAATAATTCAGAAGAATAATTTAATAGCACAAAGTATACTTATATTATTATATATCAAATTCTATATCAGTATAGATTCACATGGTAAGTAAAAAATAACTGAAAACACCACACATACAACAGTTTTAACAGCTTTACACTTTTTCTAATTTTAAAAAGTTTAAAAATCTCAATGCTTTAGGAAGTCAAGTTTACACATATATTTTTCTTGTTTTTACAGTTTAGGTTTAAAAGACTTCCCTTTAATATCAAGTTAAACTTAAGATATTAACACATTTCCATCATAATTATTTTTTACTGATAGTGGATAAGTTTTTTCTCTTAAGTTACACTGTATATTTGTTGATGCTGTAGGTTAAGCCTCTGTGCTGGTGAAAATATTGTTGATATATGTATTTAAGTATTCATTAACATATCATAAGATATAATTTTCAACTTGCATGTATTGTGTCTGAAAAACAAATTATTTTCAACACTCAATGTTTTATACCTGCTTTTTTGAATAATTCTTTCATCTTACAAAAGAGTTATATCAACAATTCACAAAGTCAACCTCAGCACACTGCTCTCAATTTTTACTCTTCAGGAAACCTCTAACTTTACGGGATGGTGCGCTATTATTATAAAACACTTCTATACCTGTACTGTTATCTTAACAGTTCTTGAAAGAGAATGTAGCAAAGTCAGATCATGAAATGAATAAAAAATTATAAGTTTTATGTAGGAAAATGTTAGTTGTAGCATCAACACACTTTGTTATTACACTGAAATATACACAAGTCATGAGAATAACTGGCTAAATTTTAGTCTATTGTGGTCTGTTACCAAAAATATTAAAGTATCAAGAATAACACAACATTATTTTTATTCTTTTAAGTTGTATTATTTCACGTATGCAAATATTCAAAAGTTCACGTTTAATTACATAATTTGTTGATAAAAACTAAAGAATACACTTATTCTTGAATATTAAGTTTATTATGTTCAAAAACAATTATTTACTAATTACTTGTAAGTTTGATGTTCTAAGTTTTTGTAACATTTGTTACTAGCTTGTTTTATGCATGTTCCATTATTAAAATCTCAGGTTTTAAAAAGACAATGTTTTGTATGCAAGTAGAGCACATATTTGTGATCAGTAAAAACAATAATTGCTAGCTCCAAAGAATAAAAACGTCTTATCTCTCAAGTTTTTATAAACTTGAAAACTTCTATATCAATCAATGAACAAGGATCAAGTTAACTGTACTGAAGAACAAAATTCTTGTACACAATCAAAATACTAGGTTTTAAATGTTAAATTATGTAACTAAATCATGATGAAGATATACCGAAAGACAATACAGTTTCTAATACTTTAAGCCAAAATCAAGTGGTGAGCAACTAACTAAATAACCTTCTAGTCAAAAAATTAAAAAGAAGGTTACAAGATGAATTGCTCATAACTACTGTTGTATGGGATCAAGTTGGAATAATAAATATAAAATTCAACAAACAACAATGTACCAGTATATCAACTACTTCCGTGGTGCTTTTAGCCACAGCTAGGTGAAGAGCACTTCTTCCTTCATAGTCCTGCCAATCAATTACCCCTGGGGATTCCTCCTGCATAAAATTACATAGATTTCTTATTGAGCCGTGTATGCAAAAATTACTCTCCAAAAACCATCATAGAGGTCATACACACACACTTAATTAGTGGAAAATATGTTTTTCAATAGATGGTCAAACATTTAACAAGTCAAACACCAAGTAAGCACAATGTAACTGTACTGATATTCATAATCATAGATAAATAAGACTCCTGCACAAGTTAAAATTTATCAAGTTTATTATAGATAAATTGAAATACTTCTAATTAAAGAACCAACATCATTTTGTATTATGAAAAATGGCATGTATGTATATCATATTAGTAATGTTTCACACGTAAAAACATAGTAAAGTTAATATTATTTAAGCTTACAAGCAAAATTTTTCTTTTTATCTAGCCACAACTCCTTATACTCCTTTATCACAGCCAAGCAGCTATACTAATCAAAGCTGCTGTTTACTTATCTCACATTATTTAGAATGATAATAAAAAATTGCATTCAAATTTTAAAAATTGTAAATCACTAATAAATAAACAAATAATCTAATATATAAAGCTAAGTTTGTATCTCTTTGCTTGCACCTTTCAGCCCCTATAATAGTAGGCCTATAAAGATATAGAATCAGCATACTTGAGTTTCATGGCTGTGACATCACATTTTTAGCACCGATGAAAACTTTGTAATATAATTTTTTTCCACAGAAGACAGACCGAATTTTTGGTTGTATTTCAGTGGAACTGATTTCAGAAAAAGGTATGTGTATTCTATAGAGAGGGGTGCTGCCATTGTGGTGTGAGAATAAAAATCCATCAAACACTGTCGTGTCTACTGACAAACAAGACTAACTTTTGCATAGAATAGACAAGTTGAACCCACAAAATTCTGCAAAACTAGATCAATTTTATTGACTTTATTTTGAGAGGGGAGATGGGTATGATAAACATTTCCGATGCTGATTATGCACCTCAAAGTAAAATGTCGAGAAACAGAAAAAACAATTCTGATTGCCAATCACAAGCAGCAAAACATATGCAACAAAGGTGACAGAGTGAGAGTCCACCTGAAATGGAAACACAGCCAAGGAAAATGACAAACTGCTCATCATCAAATCGAGACTGAGCAAGAGCAACAATTTCTCAGTTATTGCATATGCCATGAAGAGCATCAATCACAATAAACATCAAGGACACGAGACCTTTGTTTGATCCTTTCTGTTTAAAAATAGTTAATCATCGGCCCTCTGTTCAGGTAATAACCGGGTAATGATGGCTAGTTATATATATATATGCGCCCAAGAAAATAAATGTGAAAGCTAAATGTATAGCTTACATTTCTGAAAAAAATTATGTGGATTAGAAATTCAAAACAGTGTTTTGAACACGGAACAAATTTTCTCTCAGAATTTTCACTGAAAGCTTTATGTAGACATGGAATTGCCTCATGGATAAATAAATAAATAAATAGGTCAACAAATGAAAACTTAATACAAAAACAAACAGTCAAATGTCTTGAAAGGCTTTTTCTTAAACATTTTATGTGACAAAACAAAAATTTACTTTAATATTACAACTACCCATATTATTTAGGGATGGGAGATGGGTATGATAAACAGGTTTTCCACTCCCTGAGTTAATGCATAAACTTTTTTAAAATTCATTAATTTTCTTTTCAGCTTACGGCTTAACTTTTCTTCTTGCTAGCTCTATTAGAGAATCGTCCACTAACTGGTAATTAACATTAACTGAGTTTGAAGATTATTATTGTGCACCTTCTGTGATTCAACTCTTTCTTCCTGACAAACTTGGAGATAGGAGAGATAAACAAAAATGGTATACTTTGAACCTCCAGTTAGTGGGCACTAACCGAGTACTCTGAGGGAAATCCACAAGTTGGAAAATATCTCACTACACATAAAAACAATACCTAACCTCATTGCATACAACTCTAATAATCTAGAAACATGCAACAACAACGATTAGTACAAGTTAACGGATACTTGATCTATCTTTACTTTCAATATTTTTAAATGTATTAATTACTTAAGTTTTGAACATGTACCATCACTCAGAATATTACTTTTCAGATAATTTAGTGAATTAGATATGATTTGTAGAGGAAAATCTGATAAAGTTAAAAGATTTAAGTAAACTTGTAATTTTGTTCAAAATGCCCTTAAAAATTTTATTTGTTTTTCAAACACACATCAGCTTAGTTTCTGTATTTTGTATTAATGGCAAAGCTACTAAAGCTATTTGCTGCCATTCTGAATTTTAAACTACTGGCCCCAGAGGGAAGGCAGCCATTCAGCTGTCATGTTGCTAAATAAAAGTATTACCTAATATTATTGTTAGTCTATGTACTGAAAGTACAAAATGACATGTATAAACATTAAAACTGGAAAAATATTTGTTGATTTCTTAATACAGTCTCCATTGATTAAAGAGATTTATTATTAAAAACTTTGATGATGTAACAGAAAATAGCTTAATTCATAAACAATTTAAGTTTAAAATTGAATTGATACTTTTACTTTCATAATAAATTTTATGCACTTGGCTAGGTGATAACACACCATGTTGTTATTTTATACTTATTATACTAACACTTAGAAGATTTCATATCCCCCCCCCTTATAGTTCCCTTGCACCCCCCATCATTAAAATAATAATGGACAGACAGTAATCAAACTATTCTAAGTGGATAAATGCATTTTGGGTTTTATGACTCCTACTATTTCGAGAAATCAAGATAATTGAAGCGTGACATGATGTGACACACACTATACAAGTTAGATAAAAACTGAAACTTCTGCAATGAAATTCTGAAGATAGGCAGTGACATCATCCACCATATTTTCTTTCCTAGTTTATCTGTTATTCCACTCAACATAGATGTACCTTGTGTCAACATTATGCTTTTACTGTGTGGCTCCAAACTTGTGTTTACTATTTTCATGATGTAACTTGTATTTATCATTGTACATATCATGATTATCCCTAAGGTAGATTTGACAAATTTGATGTATGGAAGAGTAAAAAGTGTGTCATTTTTTGACAAAGTATATGTGGTACTGCAAAACAGCAGTTGTGTGGAAAAGTAGCCATTCTAGGTTACTAAAAAAACAAAAACAGCCAAAGCAAAATATTTGTATGCAACTTCATATGAGTGCATACATACATGCTAAACTCAAGGTTTTGGTTTGGTTTGAATTTCGCACAAAGCTACACGAGGCTATCTGCACTAGCTGTCCTTGATTTAGCAGTAAAAGACTAGAGGGAACTCAGCTAGTCATCACCATCCACTTCCAACTCTCGGGTTACTCTTTTACCAACAAAGAGTTGGATTGACAGTCTCATTATAACACCTCCACAGTTGAAAGGGCGAGCATGTTTGGTGGGAGGGGGAATTGAACCCGTGACCCTCAGATTGCGAGTCAAGCACCCTAACCACCTGGCTATGCCAGGCCTCTAATCTCAAGGTATGGTAATACATAGTCATTAATTACTTTTTACTGTTCTTTTTCAAAACTTGTGAGATATAGGTATTGAATGGATTGGTATAGTAAGTTGTATCATTGGTCCATATGTAGTTTGTGATGTTTAGTGTATCAGATATATATATATATATATGGGGTGACCCACACTACACTCTTGGTGCCATCACAGCTCCATTTCTCACCATAATGATAATCCATGGAATAGATACAGTTTGGATTGCACAATGAATGTAATATATATATATGTATATATACCACAGAGAAAACTCAAAAGGTTTTACTGAACAACCCCATCTCACAGTGGGCATGTGTTGAGCCAAGATGGATGGTATGAGCATCTTCCATTATTCTGGCTTGATGCAGATTTTGGGTAAGTATACCCTGGAAGGCAACACTAGCTGCCTAATGGGATCCTATTGAATAAAAAATGTGTCTTGAAAGGAAAATGCCGCACATTCTACTCAAAGATGGTGAGACAATGGAAGAATGGTGACCCATGGAAGACAAAAATGATCAGAAGGTATAGAAATGGAGATGGATGTATGAAGAGAGTCAACATGCCCATCTGAAAAAGCTTGAGCAAGGGCTGGCAAAGAAGAGAATGAAAAGGGTGACAAATAGAATGTAAGCATCAACACCCTGAGGTGAACATGTCAACAAAGGAGTCTATGGCCAATCCTGGAAATGAAGAAGAAATGAGGTTCATGAAAAATAAGGTCCCAGGATAGAGAAAGAAGAAGTAAGAGGTTCACGATAAGATAGATAGAACTGTTCAATAGGACCCAAGAGCTGAAGCAGGTCTGAACAATCCAATAGTAAAATTATGGAAGGAAGGGAGAGATGAGAGAAGTATGGATTATCTCTGAGTGGTCGAAGTCCAAGAAAAAAAAGAACCAATCTTAGGACAAGAAGGGAGGAATAGGATGTGATAAGCATCTACAGAATAGACATCTGAATGAAAATCATAGGAAATAAGTAGTGGGGAACAAGTGAGGAAAGAAAAATGGTAAAAAAAATTGCAGAAAGGCAATAGCTCAATTAGAGTATGCAGAAGATTGAGCAAAACCCCAACAAGGTCTCAGTCAGGAAATGGAGAAGAGCAAGGAGGAGAGTGAAAGAGCAGAACAGAATGAGGAGGACAGGGTAAAAAACATACTTGGTAATTGGGAAAGGAGAAAATCCATGGACATGGCCACCCAACAAATAAGAAAGGCTGATACCAAGAATCATTTGATGAACCAGCTGGTAAGATAGGGAGAAAGGTGGTATACAGAAGTGCTGCCTGGAGGAAATGGGTGGAGGATGGATTAATGACAAAATACCTGCCACTGATGTCAACAGATAGTACTGTGGAAGGACGAGAAGAATGTGATGAGAATAATGCCACAGTAGTAGAAAGTTTGATCTGATGAGTGATAGACCAGGAAAGTTCTCTGTGTGAAGGTGGAGGGAAAATAAATTTCAATAAAGAAAGGAATTGTAAAAATGCAAACCAAGAGAAAGAGGAGATAGTAGTCAGAGGAAGGGGAATTCTGATGAATAAGCATATCAAGGCCAAGGCGGCCGGAGAAGAACTAACAAAAAAGCCCAAGAAGGATAATGGTGTGTAAATCTGAGGTCCAGAAGAATGAGAAGAATAAGTGAGTAAGTATAGAGAAAGAGATAAGATCAGTCTTAGTTGAGAAAAATGACAGCCGGTGCCAAAAGCAGAGAAAAACGTGATTGTAATAGAGGAAGCTCGGAGTAAAGAAAGGTAACAAAGTTTCCAGGAAGGATGTATTCAAACAAGAGTAAAAACCCATGGAACATCTGGGGTATAGAGGCTATTCTGTTGACAGAATAAGGACTGGTAAAAAAAGAAGCTTATGAACAAGAAGGAAGCTCCTGGCAAATGATGTCAATGGACAGAGAAATGTATAGTCAACACCTGAAAACAAAAAGGCTCTGTAACAGGAGCTACAAGAATCATTGGAGCAAGGAAAGATTATGGAAAAAGATTGAGTGGAATATGACTAAGTGAACTGTCAGTAAGAGCAGGAATGGGAAAATGCCCAACAAAGAGGAAGAAAGTCAGGTACATTGATGGGGAGGGGATGCTAGTCCAATGACTTCCCTCACAAACATGTATCACAATCCAAGGGAGAGAAGCAATGAAGAAGGGGGAGATCCAGTTTGAGAGGTGGTTAGGGAATGTAGGAAGTAGAAAGGGCATAGTCTATCCACTATGACAATCTCATGAGGACGCAGTCATAAAAAGAAGAAAAAAAGGACCCCAAGAAAGAACATCCATGGTCTCTAAGGTCCACTGTAGGAGATACATGAGGGCATGCCCTAAATGAAGGAGGGGTTCTAGAGCAGCCAGAGTCCTCAAAAAGAGAAAAACCCACACACTTAAGAAAAGAACAAGAAATGCAAAATCTGGGGACCAGATAAGCCACAGTTTGTAGGCAAAGAAAATAGGTTGATCTCTGTTGAGATGAGAGAAGGAAATGTCCAAAAAGTACCCAACACTGAGTGGGTGTGAAAAATGACCCAGATCTCAAGGCACCCCCCTCCCCCCCAACAAAGCAGCTTCTGTAACAGGAGTGAGATAGGAGAAGAGGAAACATCCCAGAATGGTTTAACAGACATAAACAGTAAATAAAAAACCAAAATACCAACCATAGGTCATGAATATGGCAAGCATAGGCCTTCATTATACCAACAAATACTAGAGGAGCTAATGCAGAGGTGAAGGAAAAAGCAAAGAATAGATAGACGTAAAAAAGGATTGTCAGGAAAGATATAAGAAAGAGAGGATGGGCCAGAAGGGATGTGTAGAAAGGTGTCTGACACACTTACCATGGCTGACTGATGACTGGGTGTAAAAGACCATAGGTGGGGTCAGAGGGAAGAGAAAGGAAAATGGGAATAAAGGCGAAGAGTAGTGAAGAAAGAGACTAAAATGGAGAAATGGAAAACAGTTGTTGTTGGTAGAAAGTCAGAGAGGAGGAGAGAAGATACCTGCAGAATCATACATGTGCGACTGTCAGTGGCAAGAAGTTACAAACGAGACTACTGGTAGATGTAACGCAAAAAAATGAGGATAGCCTGGAATCGAGAATGGAAAGGTGAGAAGAAGAAGAATATAAATGAGGAACAAGAGTGAAGGGCAAAAAAACCTGGAAAAAGAATGAGAAGAGAAGTCATATATTATCAGACCAGGTCATCAGGGAGAAAAGAACACCAGAAGGCATCTGGGCAAAGAAATGAAGCCAGATAAGTAATACATATATAATAAGAAGAAAGAGGTACAGTAAAGAGGAATGTAACCTAACCCAACACATCCCAACAGCAGAGAAACAAAGTATGGAAGGATAGAGCAGAAGAAGTGGAATGGGCCAAACAGAAAGGGAAACAAACATTCCCAGAAGCTGTCAGAAACATGAAGAAGTGTCACAAACAAAAAAATGGAGGTATGAGATGGAATACTGAATGGTAGAGAAAAATACAAAAACAGAGAACTAGATGGTGAAAAAGAAGTTAAAGGTCCTGATCCCCAAGCTAGAGAGATAGAAACCAATTACACGAAAGTGAGAAAAGGAAGGGAAGTCACTAAATCTTGATAAAAGTGATCACTAATGCAGGGAGTGAGAAAGAGTTTGTTGTGATATAGGAGCTGTTAGAGAAAGGAAACAAAATAAATCCTAATAACAATCAATGAGCAAAAAAGATAAACCCAAGAATTGTGAGAAAAAAACAAATAATGGAGAACACAGATACAAAAGAAGAAAAGGAACTCACCTGAGAATAAAATCCAGTAAGAGATGCAGAAGTTAAGTTCATTTAATGAATGGTACTATATTATCCAAAGCAAAGAAGGTGAAGGATGCATTCTAACACATCATTCCCAATTAAGGAGAAAGAAAATTGGCTGACGAGATGGGATTAGGAGGCCCATGAAGCATGTGGTAATCCACAACATGTCGAACAATGGCTGCTATGACTCTGACAAGCAATAGGCCTTCAAAAGCCACAGCAGAAATAAGGCCTAATTGTGATCAAAATCTACACTCAGGGCTAATTAGAAATCACCATCATCATAGAAGTCATGATAAAATATTATAGTTTTTGTAAGAAAAGCTAATGAAAATGAAAATCAAAGATTTGTTAACGATGCAACTCTCATTAAATTTAATAGAGACATGAAATTTAAACACGTCTGGTCAATACAGTGCTGAGTAGAAGAATGACAATTCATGACTGCAAATTCTTAGGTGGAGTTAGTGCACACAGAGTTGTGTCACCTTTGCTGCAAGATGACATCATCATGCAGGGTTCCAAATTCACATGAAATTAGGTGCGAGTTTTCACAAGATACCAAATATCTTTGGTAGAATGTGTGTAAAAGCTGAGGAACATAGCTAAACTGTGTGAAGAGACAAGAATTTGTTTTGGAATTTTTTAACCTATTTATAGATTATTTAGAATACCAGATATATTATAGTAATTTTTTGGCATTCTAGTGTTTGATGCATTTTTTTGTGTTTCAAAATGTATATTTGAAAGCTAAATGAATCATTTTTGGACAATCAACACAGTAGAAAGAAAAAGCCTTACTAAACAATGTACATGAATGCAAAAGGCCTCATGGTTAAAGTAAGTCCAAAAATTTGTCGTTTTTATGCATACTTTTTATTTATTGTTATATATTTTTTAACAAAAGTAACTAAGATGTAAAAATTAAACCCCTATCAAATTGATTAAGAAAAAATCTGAAAAAATTATTAAATAAAATTTCTCTTCGAGGAATGCACACAAGTTGTTATCCTTGATACTTCTTTACTGTAACTTGCAACAAGCTTTCACTGAAATATTTATTACTTTGTTTAAATATGCTAGTTGGACACAGTTCAAAGAGCAATAAAACAAAATTAAATGAAAACAGGTGTAAACTGTTATAAGTCTTAGGCTGTTTAGTATAAATAACTGTAACTGTCAGTTGCAATCTACATTCATTCTAAAAACAAAAATGTATTTTTGATTTGATTTCAAATTTTTTAACTTTGTTATGGATGATTTCACTACAGTTAGTGCTAGGGTAGAGAAAATAATAGATAAAATATAAAGTTTTACTAAAAATAACTTTTGATATTGATTTAAGAGGTTACACGAATGAAATAGGAAAACTTTAAGATGAAAAAAAGTATTTTTATTCTTAGCATGAAAATCACCTTTCACCCAGACTGACTCAGTAAAAGCTTCATAAATTTACAGACAAACCTTTATTATAATTTCAAGTAATTATGTAATTTTTTTTAACATACACTGATTTCTGTAATATTGCATATTTCTAAAATTGAAGCTGACACAAATTTCATATATCACACTTATAACACTAGCAATGGAAGAAACAAATGACACAGTGTGATATATGACTCAGCTGACAGACTGGTGATGTAATTTTTATCAGTTTTCTATACAGCATTAAACTTACCAAAAGCATTTTAACACATTCAACAGCAGAGTGATTCTTCTGGCTAGCTGCCAAGTGTAAAGGGGTTTTTCCATCAATGTCTGGCAACAGAACATTAGCTCCCTAGAGTACATTAAACACATTATAAATCTGTTCTGTAACAATCCTACCTTAAACTGTCCCATTAACAGTTTATTTCACGAACTTTTAGAAATATTATAAAATTTTGTTTGAAAAAAGGTAATTATAAAAAAAAAAAAGAAAAGAAAGCCACACCAAAAAAATTCTCTCTTATAAAACATGT